GGTTTTATCTAACAATAAGTCTCATTCTATGACTAACTTTAACCGGTGGTTTTATCTAACAATAAGTCTCATTGTGTGACTAACTTTAACTGGTGGTTTTATCTAACAATAAGTCTCATTCTGTGACTAACTTTAACTGGTGGTTTTATCTAACAATAAGTCTCATTCTGTGACTAACTTTAACCGGTGGTTTTATCTAACAATAAGTCTCATTCTGTGACAACCCTTTTCGTGAATAAATGTAAATGTACTAGATACATATCTAATAAGAACTCACAGATGTCATGAGAGCCTTGTCATTTTTATTCATGTTTGATAGAGCTGAGGACAACTTTAATAAGGAGACAACTCCTTTATCTGAACCACAGGCTACCAGATGTCCTTCTTCATGAACTCCTACACTGGCCAATGCTTCATCAGCCACCTGAAAAACAAAGAACATCGGAAAACATACAAGTATTACATACAGAAACAGTTTGATATATTTTAGTTCTACTGTTACAGAATTGAGTAAATGAGAAAATTTAGTTACTTTAAAACTTGGGTAACATAAACCACGCCAAGTAATTCCTTTGATTAGTGCTCTTATTTCATGTTGATATAATCAAAACACACTGAAAGCTGTACTTTCTATACTAATATTCCTTAATTGAAATGTATTTTAGCAGTTGTATCTACCTTGATAGACAGAGTTGGGTCTATCTGTTTGAAAAGAATATCCCACACATCTAAGTACCCATTGCTTTTAGTGACAAAAAACACAGAGGGACGAGATGGGCTCCAACAACCAGCAGTTAAAGCTTGGTCAAAATTTCTAAAGATGATCAAAAGACAGGTGTAAATTACAGCCTAAATCAATGAACAGTATTTTTACCCAAAAGGTAAACATTAAATTTAAATTAAAAACACAGTAAACTAGAGAGATTTTTTTACTAAGCACAAATCAACACAATTAGTTATCTGTGCTCTGTCCACCACATGTATCAAAACCTTAATTTTAGTATTATAAACTAACTTCTGAGCTACCAGGGGCAAACTATAGAAAATTAAACTTTGTAAACATGAGTCAAAACTTTAAAAATAGTGAATAATTCTACTGTTCCTATGAAAAAAATACAACAAAATGTTATATAACAATGAAATTATTTTCCAAGTACTACTGAATTAATTCCATTTTAAAAGATTGCATAATTATTTAAAAATCTGTGTATTATCCAACACAAGAAATATTTCTAAGGTGGTTTCACTTAACCAATACATCTCGTAAACAACAGAAAACTTTGGATATGATTCACCAGTAAGCTGGAAGTAATACGTGTTTCCTTAAACAATGTGTGCCTCATGACTCTGCAGTAAACTTGAATGGGTTACAACACTAGAATCCATAGTTTGATCCTCATGTCAAACACACTGCAAAAAGCTCATTGTGCAGCTTTGCACTACAAAAAAAAAACGTTTAAAGTTACTTAATCTAATCAAACATAACCTTACTACATCAAAACTAATAATGAAGGTCACTGAACTAGTACTACATAACCTTACTACATCAAAACTAATAATGAAGGTCAGTGAACTGGTACTACATAACCTTACTACATCAAAACTAATAATGAAGGTCAGTGAACTGGTACTACATCAACACTAATAATAAAGGTCAATGAACCGGTACTACATAACCTTACTACACCAACACTAGTAATAAAGGTCAATGAACCGGTACTACATCAACACTAATAATAAAGGTCAATGAACCGGTACTACATAACCTTACTACACCAACACTAATAATAAACGTCAGTAAACTGGTACTACATAACCTTACTACATCAACACTAATAATAAAGGTCAATGAACCGGTACTACATAACCTTACTACACCAACACTAGTAATAAAGGTCAATGAACCGGTACTACATCAACACTAGTAATAAAGGTCAATGAACCGGTACTACATCAACACTAATAATAAAGGTCAATGAACCGGTACTACATAACCTTATGTTCCAGTTCATTATTATTTCTAAGATAAAACTGTTTATATGATTGTACTACTACTCACTAATATTCACTTGCATCTTTCTCTCATGCTTACATGATAATACATTCTTTGTCTTTCATCAAATTAATTACCTTGTTGATAAAATCGAAGACTCCCGAATATCCTCTGACCAGATCTGTAACATAAAGTATAATTTAAATTATGCTGAAAGACAAAATAAATTACTACATACTATTTCATTTTAAAGTAATTTCTAATAATCACTCCCAACAAAAAACTTTAACCAGACTTACAACAATACATTTTATCAACTTTGCTGAGAAATTGAGTGACGTAGAATTAATGCTTCTTAACAACTTTCTTTCCACTATAGATGTCGTGTTTCTTCCTATTGACATTAATATTCCATTCTACGAATATCAAAGCACTCAAGACTATGTTGAATTTGCTGGAGTTATGCTGATGGTTGAACCCGGTGAAAAATAAAGCAATGCACTGGGCCAGATTCGAGGGTGCCACTGAGTGTCTATCCATTTATGTGAACAATCTGTGCCATTTGCACAGTAAGGCATAGTCTGCTGTGGTTTTTCTGCAGATTGAAAATACATCTTAGTGGGTAAGCTCCTTGAGAGATTTCCAGGGGGAATAATGAGACATCACTTAGGTGTGAGAGATATTCTCACCCCTACAGAGGCTGTTACCACAGTTACAGGTGAGGAAGAAGTACTGCAGAAATTATTGGTGAATTTTGACTATGCAACCAATGAACTGATGTTCCATGAGAGAGCTATCCAATGTTGGTTCTTGAATTGGCATCCTCTGGATGGGTGTACTGCAGAAATTAGTGACTATGCAACCAATGAACTGATGTTCCACTATCCAATGTTGTATAGATCAAGCTCAGGAATGGTGAGCTGCATGAGCATATGTGATGGAGGGAATTAAAGAATATCTGTATCCATAAATGGTGTTCCGTGGTTTGATATATACAAGGTCTGGTACATAAAGCACACACACATGATATAAGCTGTTCTTCCTATCCAGAGAGCAAGCAGCATTAGCTCAAGCAGTTACTTGTGTGAGGAGGGGTGAAGTCCCACTGTTGTTTTGTAATATAGTTACAAATATTTAAACTGAAATGATCATCGATACAGTGGGTGTACAAAAACAAGTCTGCCAACATGTCATTGGTTGTGACGGTCTAGACCCAATGCACCGGAAGCAACTCACTGACTGGTCGGTTGGATATGCCAATGTATTTGGGTCACATAACTGTGACTCGCTATCATATAGATATGTATATCCAATCAAGTAACTGGTGAAATGTAGCAGATGTTGAATCACTGAACCTTGGGAGGGTGCTTCTTCATTTCAAGTAGTGATTTCAAGGAAGGTAATCAAGGTTCTGTGTTGATTTTATATGGATGAATGTGGCAAGTCACATTTATGCCTTTTCTTTGGCATAAATTTCTGGATGAATTTATAGGTTCCCATTATTTATTCACTTTATATCTGGTATTTTGATACTGGCAAGCTAAGCTTGATGACAAGAGAAGACATGTCATCAGCTACTATGTCAAGTCAGTAATGGATCTGGCTAGACAGGTCCATACCTTGCACCCCAGCATATTAGTCCATTGACATACAAGTTACAGTGGAGATGAGATGCATGTAGAACATGTCAATGTGGTCCATCTACACATCACAGATAAATGTCTACTGCACTGGCTTGATCATGAGTCAATGTGGTCCATCTACACATCACAGATAAATGTCTACTGCACTGGCTTGATCATGAGTCAATGTGGTCCATCTACACATCACAGATAAATGTCTACTGCACTGGCTTGATCATGAGTCAATGTGGTCCATCTACACATCACAGATAAATGTCTAGTGCACTGGCTTGATCATGAGTCAGAAAAAGAAGGAAGATGTCACCTTATGTCATAATGATTCACCAAGTGAGGAAGAAAGAGCTAAAAGTACATAATTAATGAGCTAAACGGGGAAATTCTGGAGTCAGAGGTGAAAGACAGCTCCAACAGCTGGGTGAACAGTAGCTAAGTGCCTTTTGGTCGATTTGTCTGGGGTTAATTTACCATCAATAAGTAAGAATAGTCTGTTGATTACTAGCTTAGCAGGACTGAAAAGGCTTAGCAACCCTTTTTTCCAACCTATCGAGCAGAATTTCATCCCTCAGGTGATAGCTGTTTGATTACCTTTATTAAAATTGCCTGGTGCTAGTCAATATAATTTCTAGATCATTGATAATTTGCACAACTGAAGACAATCAGTAAAACTTTGAAAACTCAACTGAACCAACTTTGTGGCTCTTACTTTCCAAACTATTGAATGATCTTACAAGGTAAAATGTTGTCTGATGTGTTGTGAGAATCACTCAACTGATCTGGCCCAGTGGTGGGGTTTCTAGGGAGCATAATGGATTATACCCCATACACCTTGGATGGTCCTTCCTGGATTATACCCCATACACCTTGCATGGTCCTTCCTGGATCATATCCCTTACACCTTGCATGGTTTTTCCTGGATCATACCCCATAAACCTTGCATGGTCCTTCCTGGATTATACCCATACACCTTGCATGGGTTTTCCTGGATCATACCCCATACACCTTGCATGGTTTTTCCTGGATCATACCCCATACACCTTGCATGGTTTTTCCTGGATCATACCCCATACACCTTGCATGGTTTTTCCTG